AGGTAGGAAAGTCAATGAAGAAGTTGTTACAGAAATGTAGCTGAGAAGGAAGGAATACAGAAGAGACAGATATGGAAACATACTCAGAAAGTATAATTTTTTTTTTTAGATGGAATTTTGCTCTTGTTGCCCAGGCTGGAGTGCAATGGTGCCATCTTGGCTCACCACAACCTCCACCTCCTGGGTTCAAGCGGTTCTCCTGCCTCAGCCTCCCAAGTAGCTGTGGATTACAGTCATGTGACACCATGCCCGGCTAATTTTGTATTTTTAGTAGAGATAGGGTTTCTCCATGTTGGTCAGGCTGGTCTTGAACTCCTGACCTCAGGTGATCAGCCTGCCTCGGCCTCCCAAAGTGCCGGGATTATAGGTTTTGAGCCACCACACCTGGCCAGGAAGTATAACTAAAAGGAGTTGTGACCAATTTTAATAAGGAGTGGGTTAAAAATTAATTTAAGCTTTCAAATCTAACTGTTCTGGAGGACCATGACATCACTCAAGTGAGATGGGAGAATAGGACCATGATGTCACTCAAGTAAGACAGAAGAATTGAGAGAGGGAATTCGTTAGAGGGAATAAGGTGGAGAAATTGGCTTTGGACAGGCATTTGCCGTGATAACAGAATATTCATTTAGAAATGGTACAGGAGATTGGCTTGATGAGAATGAAGTGCCTCTGAAGAGAGAGGATTGAAGTTTGTTATAATTTCATTGACTTCAACAGTATTTACGGAGGACCCATATATGCTAAGAACCAAGAAAACATGGAATTAAAAGAAACAGGGGCCTGGAAGAATTTACAACCTCGTTAAACAGTTATGGGAACACATATTTGCAAAAAAGGTATACAAAGTATAATGAAATAAGTGTCCAGTAAGGACAAAGTGCTGAGTAAGTGAAGAAGGTAGCATCCAATTCATCTGTTCAAATTCCTGCCAGAGTCAAAAAGTTGTGCTGAAGTAGAGTCCATGAAAGTACCGTAGGTGGCTCCTACTGCTCAAGTTCCCCTCCTCTGTGTCCTGCTACTCTGGTCACAACTGTCTGGACTAAGGGTTGGCACACAAACAGTTAACACAATGGTCTTTTAGCCAGACATAAAGAAGGTCAGCCACCAATCAGGAAAATCATGTCCCATAAAGGTTCTTCCTATTGAACAGTGAATGACAGACATGGCCAGATCCTCGCTCTTGGAATGCTTTGAATGTTAGTCACAGAGTGAACACTAGAAGCACAGATAGCAATGGAAGCTAAGACTCCATGAAAAAGCAGTGGACAGATGGTGATTTATGAAAATGGTAAAATTACTAGAGTTATAGGCAATGGATAGTTGCTGATGAAGGGATGAGCAGGGCCCCACAGCCTGTTGCTGGATCACAAGTGCAGTCAATTCCTGGACTGAACAGCAGCTCTCTGGCTGATGATAGGGTTTTTTAAAGTGTTCTTATTGCCTTAAAGTAAATCTTCAGCATTTGCAGTACTCTGAGGATGTCCTAGCATTTTACACCTTTTGTAAGAGCCCAGGTAACATAAGGGTACTCCTGTTGTTTTGGCTTTAATTCTATCTGCAGAAGAGGGTTTCTTGTGAAAGGCCAGTATGGTCTTCATACAGCAGATAAAAAGGATGTGTACATGTGCAGCTTTGTACGTGGTTGCCTTTCCAGGACAGTCTAACAGTAGAGGGCAGAAACTTCAGTTATAGCTTACAGCAGGCCTGGAATCCCCACATTTATACTTATTTCCTCTCCCTTTTCCCATTGTGATCACAGTCTGGTTCTGTGTGCTTGTTGTTGGAGAGGGCAAGGGAAAGGAGAGCCAGGGGAGACTGTTCAAGAGAGCCACCAGGCTTGAGAAAGAGGAACCCCTGAAGACAGCAGAAAATACAGGTACCAAGAATTTGAGTATCTACATCAGAGTTCTCAATGTGCACACAGTGAAGCACCAGTTTAGGATCATTTGATTTGTTAAAACTGAAAATTACTGGTCTACTTTAGACGAACTGAATAAAATATCTGGGTGAGGGACCTAGGAACTTGCATTTTTGGTAAGCATGGCAGGTGATTCCTAAAGCATTTACCCTTGAGACTCACCCACTGCTGTAAGCTCTATGTTTTGTTTTGATTTGGTTTTTTTGAGATAAAATTTCACTCTTGTTGCCCAGGCTGGAGTGCAATGGCCTGATCTTGGCTCACTGCAACCTCCACCTCCTGGATTCAAGTGATTCTCTTGCCTCAGCCTCCTGAGTAGCTGGGACTACTGGCTCCCACCACCACAGCTGGTTAATTTTTGTATTTTTAGTAGAAACAGGGTTTCACCATGTTGGCCAGTTTGGCCTTGAACTCCTGACCTCAGGTGATCTGCCCACTTCAGCCTCCCAAAGTGCTGGGATTACAGGTGTGAGCCACTGCACCTGGCTAGCTCTATGTTAAAGAAAGACAGGGACTGTTGCAAGGAGGTGGTGCTGGCTTCTAAGAAAGTACCCAGGACTGAACAGCAGAAAGACCTGACGTAGCATATGTATAAAATGCTTTGGAAGTGAAAAGGAAGAAGAAAGTGTCTGAGGTAAAGCTGCAGTAGGGGGTGCATGAAACAAATGGTTGGATGCAGATTTGCTTTGGGACTCATGAGCCTAGTTGATAACTGAGACCATGTGGATGGATTAGGTTTCTGCTAATGCCAGAATTTTTATAATCAGCATAAAAGTGCTATATAAAGCTTTTCCCTGTTCTATGTTATAGTCCTTTTAAGATGTATGGAACACCAACTATAGGAAGAACATCATATTCACAGCTGTAGGAGAAAACAAGAGCTTATCATGTACTTGATGTTGAACAAAATAAATCTGTGATTTATGCTCGAGTGACCACAGAGTAACACACACGTAAGTGCAAATTAATTCATTTAAGAATTCCTTGTATCTGTTATGTACGACATAAGTGTCTCTGGACTGTGCAGAATGTGGCTTATCAGGTGACTGGAGTGAGTTTCAAAGCAGATTTTGTAAGATGAAGACAAGACTGACAGAAGGTTTGCGACACTCTAAGATTTAGAGTCACAGAGTTCATGGATTAGGATTTAGACTCCACAGAGGCTCCTGTGATTCACTCATTCAACATTCCACAAATATTTATTGAATGCCTTGTGTTAGAGACTGTTTTTGGCACTGGAAATTTAGTAGTAAATAGAGCAAAACTGATTCCCTCATGGAGCTTACATTCTGGTGGGAGAAAGAGAGACAAGAAAACAAAATAAATAGTGTATTATTGAGGGTGATGAGAGCTTTGGAGAAAAAGTAGGACAAGCGATAGATTTGGGACAAGGGGAAATTGCAGTATCAAAGATGATCTTTTTAGGGAAGATCTCATTTTAAAAACACTTTAGAACAAAAATTTAAATAAGGTGCCAGACAGAGGGGTAGCAAGTGCATATTCCCCGAGAAAAAAGCCTGCCTGGCATTTTCAAGGAAGAGCCGGTAACCAATGTGTATCTATGGAAGTGAGGGAGAACAGTAGGATGAGAGTTCAGAGAAGTGAGAGGGTAGGGGATAACAAATAATTTAAGGTCATGTAGGATTTTGAGAATTTTGCTTTTATGTCAAGTGGAATGGGGGCCACTGATGATCTGGGGGCAGAGTGAACATGATCTGACACGAAGGATACACCACTTTTGAACTATGTTAACTTGGGCCCAGCTTTTAACCTCTAAATCTGTTTATTTGTAAAACAGTAAAAACTATTTTACCGTATGAGGTTGTCCTGATGATGAAATAAGATGATACAATAAATGCAAAACATTTAGCTAGTACTCAACATGGAGTAGGCACATTTTCTCGCCTTCCCTGTCTTCCACTTTCTCTCTTGTGCTCCTTCCACCTGGCGCTAGGAGGTGGAGACTGGAATAAACCTTGCAGATGACAGCCCTTGTTAGAAAGGAGAGAGTAACAGTTGAGGCAAAGCCTTGCTTAACAGACATAATAGCTGAGATTTAAGGCAGTTTTATTGGTGGTTTATGATGTGGACTAGAGGAATGGAACTGAAAGTAGAGTCTTGGAGGAGGGCGATCCTATCAGGTACAGACGCTGGTTTTCCAGCCCTCAATCCTCAAGACTCTCCCAAAGTACCTTTCTAGGTAGTTTTATAAACACAGACTCCGGGTATGCCAGCATGTTTAATTGCCCCATTGTTTAAGGTCTTAACTCCACGAATATTAACTGATTAATCTCAGTCTTCTAATTAATGTTTGAATGACTCCTCAGGTCTAAACTACCAAGGGCACCTCCACTTAAAAACAGTTTGTCTTCTGTTTGTGATTTCAGGGGCAATGGGTATATGCGAAGTCGCTGTTTAGAGACCTTGTGATGGCTTCAAAATATCAAGAAAAATAGCAAAATATCGTAGACCTCCTGCCCCGAGATTAGGGTTGAATGGGTCAGCCGCGTTTGTTTGGGCCTGGGGCTAAATTCCCAGCCCGAGTGCAGAGGCTGATAATAATCCGGGCGGCCATCAGAAATCCCCGGGTGGGAAACTGCCCGCCGGGTCTGCCTAAGTCCCCGAAGTCGCCTCCCACTTTTGGTGACTGCTTGTTTATTTACGTGCAGTCAATGAGAGTAAATGGATGCGCGCCAGCACAGGCCGACCCCGAGGGTGGCGCGGTGCTCTTCGCAGCTTCTCTCTGGAGACCGGTTGGCGCGGCGGCGGGGCCGCTCGTGGCGTCTCCCTGGTGGCGTCCGCTCATCTCGCCGCGGTCGGGTCCCACTCCGGGTCAGAATCCGCGGCGGCTGGGACGGCCTTGCCGCAGGCAGGGGGCGGGCCACCGCGTAGGTCCGGCAGTCCCTCCTCCCGCCGAGGCGCCGCCCAGACTCGCTCTCCAGCCGGCCCAGCTCCCCACCCTCGACCGCCCCAGCACCCCTTCCTCCGCCGGCCCGGCCCCCGCTCCTCCCACGCCGGCCCGGCCCGGCCCGGCCCCCTCCTCCTCCCAGCCGGCGCTCGCGGCCGCCTTCTCTTCCCTCTTCCCACACCGCCCTCAGCCGCTCCCTCTCACACTCCGGTCTGAAGAGGAATCGAGCGCGGAACGCATCGATAGCTCTGCCCTCTGCGGCCGCCCGGCCCCGAACTCATCGGTGTGCTCGGAGCTCGATTTTCCTAGGCGGCGGCCGCGGCGGCGGAGGCAGCAGCGGCGGCGGCAGTGGCGGCGGCGACGGTGGCGGCGGCTCGGCCAGTACTCCCGGCCCCCGCCATTTCGGACTGGGAACGAGCGCGGCGCAGGCACTGAAGGCGGCGGCGGGGCGAGGCTCAGCGGCTCCCAGGTGCGGGAGAGAGGTTCGGAGCGGACCACCCCTCCTGGGCCCCTGCCTGGGTTCTGACCCTCTTTGCCGGCGCCGGGCGGGGCCGGCGGCGAGTGAATGAATTAGGGGTCCCAGGAGGGGCGGGCGGGGGGCGCGGGCGCGGGGCCCGGGCGGGCGGGGTGAGGGGGTCTGCATGGGGAGGCGCGCGGACGCGGCAGCGCGGGGAGTGAGGAATGGGCGGTGCGGGGCTGAGGAGGGTGAGGCTGGAGGCGGTCGCCGCTTGTGCTGCTTCCTGGACGGGGAACCCCTTCCTTCCTCCTCCCCGAGAGCCGCGGCTGGAGGCTGCTGGCGAGAAACTCGGGCCGGGCCAGCTGCCCCTCGGGGCTGTGGGGTGCGGTGGAGGTTACTCCCGCTGCGCCCCGGCCTCCCTTCCCCCTCTCCCCGCTCCTGCACCTCTTGCCTCCCTTCCCAGCACTCGGCTGCCTCGGTCCAGCCTTCCCTGCTGCATTTGGCATCTCTAGGACGAAGGTATAAACTTCTCCCTCGAGCGCAGACTGGACGGATAGTGGTCCTTTTCCGTGTGTAGGGGATGTATGAGTAAGGGGAGGTCACGTTTTGGAAGAGCATAGGAAAGTGCTTAGAGACCACTGTTTGAGGTTATTGTGTTTGGAAAAAAAATGCATCTGCCTCCGAGCTCCAGACTGCTCCCCTCCCCCATGTTTGGGCTGTGACATTGCTGTGGCCACAAAGAAGGAGGTGGAGGTAGAGATGGTGGAAGAACAGGTGGCCAACACCCTACACGTAGAGCCTGTGACCTACAGTGAAAAGGAAAAAGTTAATCCCAGAAGGTCTGTTTTGCTTGGTCAAATTAAACACGAAGAAAACCCGCAGAGCAGAAGCGAGGCTTTTTCATTGCTAGTTGAGTGTAGACAGCAATAACAAAAATAGTACTTCAAGTTTAATTTACCTGTTCTTGTCCTTTCTCCTATTTCTTCTGTATTACCCTCATCCCTCTTCTATACTACCCTCATTTTGCAGATGTGTTCTTCATCCCCAGAGTTATTACAGTATTCCAAAACAGCACTTACATGGTTTTTTAAACTTACAGAGGAATTGTAGCAATCCACTAGCTAAGCCTAAAATGGGCATGTGCATCTTTTTTTTTTTTTTTTTTTTTTTTTTGAGACGGAGTCTCGCTCTGTTGCCCAGGCTGAGTGTAGTGGCGTGGTCCCAGCTCACTGCAACCTCTACTTCGCGGGTTCAGGCGATTCTCCTGCCTCAGCCTCCCCTACTGAGTAGCTGGGATTACAGGTGCCTGCCACTATGCGCGGCTAATTTTTTGTATTTTTAGTAGCGACGGGGTTTCACCATGTTGGCCAGCCTGGTCTCGAACTCCTGACCTTGTGATTCGCCCGTCTTGGCCTCCCACAGTGGCATGTGCATCTTACAGCTGAAGTCCTAAGTGAGCCTTCTTAAATCTTGATACCCATCAAAACAGAAAGGCTTTCTAATTGTTGTACAACATATATGTTATGCTTATAACAAATCATTTAAAGAGTAAGTTATAAAGGGGAAAGGTCTATTTGTAATTATCAGCTCAGAAATAACCATGTAACTGGTGGCACTCTGAAGTGACTAAGGTCCTAAATGCTGACTCCTACATGTGATAGACTACAGATATAAAATAATAGTTGCTAACAGTAGTTTATTTTGAGACTGTAGCCATCCACAGTATACCTGCATTTAAGAGACGTTAGATGGTAATTCAGTTTTATGACAAATAAAAATGAATTTTCTTCTATGACAAAATTGCTGGATTCAAGACCTGCCCACTCCTTGCTACCTTTTCTAACTCTGGGTGAGGGAGCTCCTCCCTCCCATGATCTTCATTTGGTAAGACTCCTTTGGAACCCAGGTCTTTCTAGTGGATTTAAATGTGACTTGGTTTCAAAAATCTAATTCAAGGATTTTTTTTTTTTCTTCTGGAAACAACCATTGCATAAATAAGTAGATCAGAAGGTATATGTGGCTCTGAATTCATACATATACACAAACTCTAAACCAGTGTCTGTCCACAGTATTTCCTAGGCTAGTTAACTTTTTGGTCTTAACGACCCCCCTACACTGTTTTTTGTTTTTTGTTTTTTTTTTTTTTTTTGAGAGAGTCTCACTCTGTCACCCAGGCTGGAGTGCAGTGATGCGATCTCGGCTCACTGCAACCTCTGCCTCCTGCTTTTAAGCAATTCTCCTGCCTCAGCCTCAGAAGTAGCTGGGATTATAGGCGCCTGCCCCCATGCCAGGCTAATTTTTGTATTTTTAGATCCGGGGTTGCACCATTTTGGCCATGCTGTTCTTGACCTACTGACCTCAGGTGATCCACTGGCCTGGGCCTCCCAAAGTGCTGGGATTACAGGCGTGAGGCACCATGCGTAGCCTACACTCTTAAAAGTTACAGAAGGGGCCGGGCAAGTTGGCTCATGCCTGTAATCCCAGCACTTTGGGAGGCTGAGGCAGGAGCGTGCTTGAGTCCAGGAGTTCGAGACCAGCATGCTCAATCTAGTGAGACTGTTATGAAGAAAAAACATACTGAGTATTAAAAAAATACATGATTTGTGTGGGATTTATTGATATTTATCATATTAGAAATTAAAACAAGTTTTTAAAACAAATTTTAAAAGTGTTTTAATTCATTTAAAATGGCAATAATAAGCCCATTACTTGGTAATATGAATATTTTATGAAAAATTATTTTCCAAAACAAAACCAAAAATTAGAAGAATTGTTTCACATTTTAGTAAATCTCTTTAATGATGTGGCTTAATACAGGACATTGATTATCACTGGGCTCAGTGGCTCATGCCTGTAATCCCAGCACTTTGGAAGGCCGAGGTGGGCAGATCACCTGAGGTCAGGAGTTTGAGACCAGCCTGATCAACATGGAGAAATCCCGTCTCTATTAAAAATACAAAATTAGTTGGGTGTAGTGGCACATGCCTGTAATCCCAGCTATCTGGGAGGCTGAGGCAGGAAAATCGCTTTAACCCCGGAGGTGGAGGTTGCGGAGAACAGAGATGGCGCCATTTCACTTTAGCCTGGGCAACGAGTGAAACTCCGTCTCAATAAAGAAAAGACAAGAAAATAATAGGACTATTAATCCACTTTAAGTCAGGTCTCTGCAAGTCAATTTAGATCTCTGGGTTTTGCTTCTGTCTACATAATAAATATAAATAAAGAAGACGTGGATTTTCATATCTGCATCTGCATTCAATCTATTGTGATCACACATATGGAAAACTTGTGAAAGAATGGGAATGAAAAAAGGGTAAAGGATATCTTAGTGTTATAGAAAACAGTTTTGACTTGCACACCAGAAAAGTCTTAGTAACCTGAGGGGTTCCCGGACCACATTTTGAGAACGGTTTTAGGCTATCCAAACTGGTTAGGGGGAGGTTGGGGTAAGCAGGGAGCTAGAGGGTACATTTTAGTGTAATTCTCCTCATCTCTTCCTAATTGCTTTGGCCTACATTTGAAATAAAGAGCGGAGGCAAATGGGTAAGATATGTGTTTGTAGTGGTTGTTAACTTTGCCCTACACAAGCAGCCAGTAAGTCTAGGTAGAGTAGAGTGACTGTGTGTGATACAAGTTTTCTAGCCTGTGGTGCTCTTTGAGGCAGGGCTTAGGAGTAAGGTTAGCAGGTTATCATTTGGAAAAGCAAATTATTATTTTTGATCTTCAGTAAATAGGATGCTGTGTGTATTTAGTGTTTATCTACAATACATGCACATTCATTAACCTGGAACTATTCGTCCTATAATAAATAACTGTGCATTCACTGCCATTTTTTTCTGCATTTCTCTTTATTTGCAATAATGTGTTACATGAGGGAAAGGAGATGAAATCAAACATTCATATTATTTAAAAATTTTTGAAACAACTGACTAAAAAATAGCACATTTTATTTTCTGTGTGGTGTTTGTTAAACAAGTTGTCAGTGTCCATACACCTGTTGGAAGACATTGTACGAAAATCAGAGTAATAGTCACATGGATTACTGAGATAAATTCACTTAAATCTCTTAACAACTGTTTTCTTAATAAAAACAATGTTTATCTCTAATCTTTTTTGTTTGTTTTGAGATGGAGTCTCACTGTGTTGCCCAAGCTGGAGTGCAGTGGCGCGATCTTGGCTCACTGCAACTGCAACCTCCGCCTCCCAGGTTCAAGTGATTCTCCTTCCTCAGCCTCCTGAGTAGTTGGGACTACAGGCGAGCACCACCACGTCTGGTTAATTTTTGTATTTTTAGTAGAGATGGGATTTCACCATATTGGCAAGAATGTTGAACTCCTGACCTCAGGTGATCCACCCATCTCAGCCTCTCAAAGTGCCGGGATTACAAGTGTGAGCCTCTGTGCCCAGCTTTCTAATCTTTATTTAATTATCTTTTTTGTGCAGCAGTGATACAGGATTATGTATTGTGATTGATGATCACATCACCTGTACTGAATAGTTAATTCAGAGTTCTATTAGTTTTTACCTTTATTTTTTCCAGAGATTTTTTTTTTAAAGACAGTCTTGCTCTGTCAGCAGGCTGGAGTACAGTGGCACGATCTCGGCTCACTGCAACCTCCTACTCCTTTTTTCTCCAGAGATATTTTACAAATTAAAATGTCATCAAATATTGTTCCTCTCTGCCTCCGTGTTTAAATTTTTATTTCCCCGTGACACAATCCAGCTTCGTTTGACATTCTCCCAACCCCCATCTGATTTTTACTGTTAATATTTATCCAGGAGAACTACTGCCCTGATGCTTTAAAAGTTTTTCTGAAGCTGTTGCGTATTGACTTCTAACTCTTAGAGGTGAGGGTCAACTAGGAAAACTGTAACAATAGGAGTGGAGATAGCTGTCAACAACTTTTTTTGAGGGTGTGTCTATAGGGTGTAGAGCACTGTGCTAGGCACTTGCATGAGTGAAGTCATTATCTTTTGAGAGCCTTTAGCTGCTACAGAACAGCAGTCTGGCGGTTTAGATAGAGCAACTCGAATTTAAAATAAAAGAACTATCTGTGTAGTATTTGTGTATATTTCTTAAACGTCGATGGAGGAGTTTGTAAATGAAGTACAGTTCATTATGATATACATCTGTATTCAACTGGAGTTTTCATGATTGAATTTTGTAAGGTATTTTGAAATAACTTCATATAAAGGTGAGTTTTGTGTTAAAAGGAATAGAGTGATAGCGTGTTAACCTCATGTGTGACGTGTTCTAATTTAGTTACATTTTCATTATTTTTATTATAAGGCCTGCTGAAAATGACTGAATATAAACTTGTGGTAGTTGGAGCTGGTGGCGTAGGCAAGAGTGCCTTGACGATACAGCTAATTCAGAATCATTTTGTGGACGAATATGATCCAACAATAGAGGTAAATCTTGTTTTAATATTATGCATATTACTGGTGCAGGACCATTCTTTGGTACAAATAAAGATTTTTCTGACCATTTTCATGAGTACTTATTACAAGATAATTGTACTGAAAGTTATTTTAAATTATCTGAAATGTACCTTGGGTTTCAAGGCTTTAACTAAAGTTGCATGTAAGCATCAGTATGGGAGCTTTACTTCCCTTGGGAGTATGTCAAGGTCCGTGATGTTCACTCTCTGTGCATTTTGATTGGAAGCGTATTTCGTAGTTTTCTGAGAGGCTAAAAATGTGAATTTGTATCTTATCTGTACCTAAAAGACATTCTTTTTAATCTAACTTTTATTTTTATGGGTTTCTTGGTATTGTGACATTATGTAAAGGTTAGATTTAATTGTACTAGTGAAATGTAATTGTTTGATGGTTATTTTTTTAAAAACTTCATTAGCAGTATTTTCCTATCTTTTCAACATTAAAGTAGTGGAGAACCTACAACTCCCTGAGAAATTTTAAAAAGTGAATTCTTTGCTGGAGGTGTGATTTATGTAGAAGTACCGTTACCAACTTTACCTTTGCTTGGTTGTCATTTTTAAATTTACTCAAGGAAATACTAGGATTTTTACAATATTTCCTTGAGTAAACATACATTTTTATTATGTTTTTAAGGATTATTTTCAGATTTTTTTAGTATAATGAAAATTTAACAAAGTACAGGTCAGCAGTAGAATGATAAATAAAGGCCTGGAAGATACCTTGAGAGGTCAGGTAGTAGTATTTCTTTCTGCCTCCTGGCAGCTGTAGACTCAAATCATCTCAAGCAGTTGAGGATTTATTTGATCTCAAAGACCTGCAGGAGGGGACATTCCCCACCTGTCCTTATTAACCCATTTTCAGAACATACTTATTAGCATATTTTACACATAATTTGAATCTTCATATTAAATTTAACATCAGTGGAGATGGAAAATAAGCATATCACCTTGTCTTTGAAATAGCCCTATATTGTTAGATTATTTCATAGGCTTCTTTACCCCAGATTAAGCAGTCCTAATCCTTTAGCATTTATTCTACATTTAATGAACTGATTTAAAAAATTCAGTTCTGAAAAATTTCTAAGAACTTTCTTCAAGTCCCAAACTGTGAAATCTAGAACAGGTCAAAGTGCTCTATTAAGGTACTGTACTGTGTAATGTCTTAAAGAAACACTTTGCACTGAGGTGAGTTCTGAGGGCATTGATGGCCTTGGGAAGGTGTTTATGCAGTTTAGAACTTGGAGGTTTGATTAGATAACTGAATTCATAAGGAAATGTCATGTATTTTTTGTACTATAAAAAAGTGGATAAGTAATGCTTATTTGCAGAGATTTGAGTTAAACTAAGAAGGAACTTTATTTGGCTTCCAATATTAAGAATTTACAATAGTAAAAGGAAACAGTCTAATTGAAGTGGACTGACTGTGCGATAGTCTCTGTATATTTACTTTTGACAAGTTAATTCAATGTGTACTATAGTTTTGTTTGTTTCTTCAAGGAGGTTTGAATAGTGCATGCATTTCAATCTATATTGCAAATCCAGGGTTACTTGGCAGACTACTGTTTAAATCAGATGTTTTAACAGAATTCACTTTATGCATGAACATTTTCCTGGGATTTTGAAAGGTAGTTTTACTAGAAATGTAGTCCGTCTTCCCTGAAGATCTGAGAAATTCCATTACACTCTGTTTCCAATCAGAGGTCATGAATACTATATGAGTACATAAAGCATGACGTCATGAATGATAAGGTAGGTTAGGGAACCTTTTGCTCATAATTGTTAAAATGCAGTATAAATCTTGAAGAAATAAAGCTAACAAGCCATTATTTACGGGGGAAGGTTGAAAAAGTTTGTAAAAGTTTGTAAACTTAAACCCATAACTCTGATTATGATTTCTGCGAAACCAGAAGACTTGACTCTGGGAAGCATTGATTACTTGTGAACTTTGAAACTGATGGTCCCTGACGTAGTTTAGCCACTTGGAAAAAGGTATCTGAGATTATCTCTTATCTCCCAAGTTACAATGAGTCCCTGAGGGAACTGACATGTTAACATTAAGTTCTCGGTGTGAACTGTGAGAAAGGCAAGAGAATTTAGTAGTTTAACTTAATAAATAGTTGGTTAAACAGAAATGCTGACTCCATGTTATCGAAAAAGTTAAAAATTTAGGAGGGTATGGGGATTTCACTGCTGTTGTTAGGTTTTGATTAGTGAATAGTATGGGACAGAGAAGATTAGAAAGGCTATGACTGCACATTTTGGAATTAATAGCAGTTTTTCTACATTTAAAATGGAATGAAATTTTTAAAAAATTTAATTTATTTTGATGATTTAAATTTTGTAAAATTTACACTAAGAGGTAAATAAGAAGGGCGGCCATTGTTTCTTTTATTTTATAGATGACTCTGAGAGGTTCTAACTCATCTAAGGATACATAGCTAGTAAGTGGTGAGATTTGAATTTAAATTTTCTGAGACCAAGTTAAGTAGAATTTCCACTGTACTCTTGTATAGCTTTTTATTTATTTTTTATTTTATTTATTTATTTTTGAGACAGAGTCTTGCTCTGTTGCCAGGCTGGAGTGTGGTGGCACGATCTCAGCTTACTGCAGCCTCCGCCTCCCGGGTTCAAGTGATTCTCCTGGCTCAACTTCCCGAGTAACTGAGACTACAGTCATGTGCCACCACGCCCAGCTAATTTTTGTATTTTTTTAGAAGAGACAGGGTTTCATCATGTTGGCCAGGATGGTCTCAATCTCTTGACCTCGTGATCTGCCCGCCTCCCAAAGTGCTGGTACTACAGATGTGAGCCACTGCACCTGGCCTTGTATAGCTTTTTAAAACTGAGAATTGGCTGTCTTTCAAGTTAAGAAAATACTTATTAATGGAAATTAAGTCAGATTTGTCAATATATCAAAATTTGAAATTAGCCTACTATTTAATGGCAACTTAGTGGCAGATATATGATGTAAAATCATTCAGACGTGACACATAGATGGAATATGTTTATATTTGAGGCTGTGCACATAATCACCTTTACTTGCATTGTGAAGGATATATCATTATCTTTTGTGAAGTCCATCAGGCCTGGTGAGGTGGTTCACGCTTGTAATCCCAGCACTGTGGGAGGCTGAGGTGGGTGGATCATGAGATCAGGAGTTCGAGACCAGCCTGGCCAACACAGTGAAACCCCGTCTATACTAAAGATACAGAAATTATCTGGGTGTGGCAGGCACCTGTGGTCCCAGCCACTTGGGAGGCTGAACTGGGAGAATTACTTGAACCCGGGAGGCAGAGGTTACAGTGAGCCAAGATGGCGTCACTGCGCTCCAGCCTGGGAGACAGAGCTAGACTCTGTCTAAAAAAAAAAAAAAAAAAGTCCACTAAAGAGATGATGAAATACCTTGTTAGTAAGGCAAGATTATTAAAAACTCTAAATAGGCCCTGAAAACCATACTTGACTACAAATACCTGCTTTTATAGTTCAGAGATCACTTGTTATCAAAACCCTGAAATTTTTTTTTTTAAGGTAAAATGTGGTGGAAAAGTAAGTTTTATTTTTTAAAAAAATAGTTAGTTACAGAGATCAGAGTGATCAATTGATCACTTACCAAATATATATTAAGTATCTACTGTATATAATATGCTAGTAAGAATAAATATAGCAAAAAGTATTTTTTCCTTGACTCTAATTGTTTAACATCTGCATGCTTTTATTGTGGCACCTATAATTCAGTTCAAGTATTATGCCTTTCTTTGATGGAACAGCTTCCTATTCGGTAAGGAAGACTATATTAATAATTGAATTGGTTTGTTTCATCTTTAGTGTTCTGAGCTGTGGAGTATTTATTTACCAGCGTTTATCAGTTTTCAATTTCTTTTATTTTTCCATGTTCATTATAGAATTCATTTTCCCTACGAATAAAGTATGTAGATTATAGAGAGAAAATTTGTAAAATTAAACTGATATTGAAGAGTGGTGTAAGAAAAGCCTTATGTAATTTGTATGCTGTTATTCTTCTGAGTTTATACACATATGTTTGTGGTAATCAATGAGGGATGGTTGGGTGACTGCCCTCCAGGGGACATTTGGCAACATCTGGAGACATTTTTGGTTGCCATAACTTGGGGAGAGAGGACTGCTACTGGCATCTATTCAGTAGATGCTATTACTTTTAATGGCAAAATTGCAATTATTTTGCACCATCCTAATGTTAAACTTCCTGCAATGCACAGGAAAGCCCCTATAACAGAGTTATCTGGCCCCAAACTTCAATACTGCTAAGGTCCAAAGCCTGATATGTTACCTGTAGCTTTAAACATCCTTTAAATTGTCAAATTCATGTCCCTGACATTAGGCTTATGTTAGATTTTCAACTATAACATAGATTTAAACTTTACCTTTTGTAAATTAATAATATGTTAGCTTACTCCAGTGTTCTATTAAAACGTTCTGTTTAAAATCAGAGACATACAGCAATTTTATAAATGCCTTTCTCTTCAGGGCTGTGAAGCTCTCCCCACTTTTGTGAGTGCCCTCTACTGGTCAAATTATTTACTTTTGTAACAGATAACAATGAAATCCTGTTTGTATAGTTTCTCTGTTTAAACTGTGGGTATCATCAATTTAGAAATGTATCCGTTTTATTTAAAAGTTTTATTTTACATGATTGATTTAAAAAATATCAGTTTTACTCTCTGCTAATATTAATATAAAGATTGCTGTGTGGATTAGTTAGGCCTAACTAAATAAGTAGGTGAGTATACTGAACTAAGAAAAGAAACTAGGCGATGTATGAGAAAATTGGGTGTTTCTGTTGTTAACACTTACTGAGCTTACTTTGTTGAAGGGACTAAAAAGCAGCAGTGTGGCTCCCTGAGCTTCTTTGCATGCACTGAGGAGCTGCTTAATGGAGTCAAAGCTTGGTGTTAATGTTGCAGGGGGTGTTATGAGGGTCCTATTCAGAAGTGG